AATTTTTTTTGTTTGCATCTTGCCTCCTTTTGCACATCCTCATCGTGCCGGACTGCAAAGCAATGCAGAAGGGCTGCTTTGTACTGAGAGGCCAGGACTTCCCCAATGCGTGCTGTGGGCACAGCGATGAATTGCAGAAGCACAGCGAACAATTTCAGCCCTGTGGCTTCACCTGTTGTTCTCCCAGTCTACTGGTGGGACATATTAGATGTCTGATACATTTGCTGCATTGCCCTGATAGCTGTTAGTGCTTTTTCTGGGGTCATGGCAGAGACAGTGGTCTCTGACCATTAGTTAGGGCATCTCTTGTATGGTTTCTGACTGTGTTGCTGATCCGGTCCCCCAAAATGACTGGCTTAACTGCATCATTTTTCCCCTTAGTATTCACTTGTGATGCAGAAGGATGAGAAATCTCATTTAAATTCTTAAGAAAGGAGCATTTCTTTGATAACAACTCACTGTGCCCTAATTTTTCTTTAAGATTATGAGGGGGCATCCCCCCCTCAAAATACGGGGTATCTTGCTAAAGGGAAAAGTGTAAAATTAAGCAAGATTTATCTATTAATCCTAAAAGCTCTCCCTATCTAAGTAACCGGTTCCAGAACCTAAATGGTTAAAGTAGAAAATGTTAGTAATTTTGCTGCAAATAAATTGATCAGTATGCAAGACGGTTGTCACTGGCTGAATCATGGTCCACAGTTAAGGTAAACAGATCTGTGATGACATTTTCTGAGCAGAATACCAATGCTGCTACATTTCTTCCCAGAGGTTTCTGACACTTCTTATATGCGGATAAAATCCCTCTCCGGGAAGGTGTTGCTCGCAGGGAAGAAATAGCATCTTTGAAAGAGCCTTCTCTAAAGGTGGGATTTATTGTATTTCCTGATTTATTTGCTGTGAGAATTGTCTTAAAGAACATAGAAGCGGATGTTTTTGCTTTCCTGCTTATTCTCTCAGTGCAGCAGATCTTTCTGATCTGGAATCTATTTAAAGTATCTGGCAGTGAAATTCAATAAAACAGTATTTAGCGGAGTTATCAAAAAGAATGTAAGCACTGTAATTTTTATGGTCTCTGAAAGAGATCTCTCATTTTATAATCTGTGGTTAACATGCAAATGCAATGACTAAATATATAGTTAGGTTTTAGCATAGGTGTTTCTGTGAAATTTTTTTGGCTGTGTGATGGCTTCATATGTTCATTGCCATATTCAAAAGAGATATGATTTGGTTTATTCTTAAATGTCTCTGTGCAAGGCAGAAATCCCCCTCTGCAATTGACTGCAATCAGAACCTCTTTGCTGACATGCATCGAACTCCTGAATGACTTTAGAGTACGAAAAATACCAGGAAGGTTTTGAAATCTGTTTTCTCAGAACATATAAAATGTCTGGATGTTGCTAGTAAGGGGAGAGGGTACATGCATAATTCTTCATTTAGCCTTAGATCTACATTTCCTTTGAGGTAAGTGATGTCTCAGTCATTCTATGGATTGGCAGGTGGAAATCTGTTACGTTTGTGTTTATATAAGTAGAATCTTACCAGTTTAATCAGGTACCAGTGTCTGCCTTTAATTCTGTTTATTACACTAAATACTGGGGGATACAAGAGCCCTGTGAGGAGCAGAGGCATGCTCAGTGATATCTGACCTGTCAGAGCAACCTGGAGCTGGTCCTTAAAGTTAATGTCAGAGCTCCCAAGTCTGCTAAGTGGGTAACAGCTCCTTTAGGCCAGGGGCTTGAGGTTTGGGTTTAATTTGTTAAGTTTGGGTAAATGAGCCTTGGTTTAATAATCTCAAATTTGAGAGGAAGGTCCAGATGAACCCAGCTGATATCCCTCCAGTGGTGCTTGTGGTTGCAGTTTGCATGTGCTTGCAAGGTATCCCTGCATAGCACTGAGCGGCTTCGTGCCTTCTGCTGTGCAAACTGTGTGCTGATCCTTACAGCTATCCCATCTCTTTGAGATGAGTTTGGAGTTTCCCGAGGCTGGATCCCTACACTGTACCTGCTTATTTTTAATATATGCTTTCCTTTTTTTTTTTTTTTTTTTTTTCCCCCCACAAAAAAATCCATAAATAATTTTGGAGTGACATACGTGCAGTGCTGGAGGAAAGTGTAATATCAGGGCTTGAACGTGTTCAGCAGTAAATTTAATTCTGAAGGAAAGAGAAGAACGAATGCTGCTCTTACAGTGCACCCTGATGCTATCTCTGGGTTAGCATGGCTCCTCAGGGCTCCTCAGGGTGGGTGTGAGGAGCAGGGCAGAGCCAGGTCCTGTGCCGGGCAGGACATCAAAGAGGTGAGGCCTTGAAGGTTGTCTGCTCTGAACAGAATATCCACTAAAGTATGTTCTGGTGAGTTCTATTTTCATAGCATTTCTGTGCCCTTTGGCAGAGCTGTAGGTCACTTTCTAATTTCCATCCAAAATACTGTGTATATTTCTCAGTAGAAAAGCAATGTTCATTCAACTCTTAAGAAACTTGTTTTAGATGATTTTTCTGAGTACTGCTGTGATGGTTATTGATGATTTTTCTTGACCATTCAGCGTGACATTGTTTTACTTTCTGAACACATACCTTTACACTCTTGTTTTAATTTGCGGTACAGTAGGCACTGTTTGTCTTATTTCTATTGGCAGGAGGAAACTCTGCTTGAAGATCCAGTCTTGGAAAGAGAACAGTTTCTTTCCTAATTTTCATTGCTGCTGAAGCACTTCTGTGGGCATCAGCACTAACATCTGTATGGACGTGGGCCTGGAACATAATCCTTTTATTGATTTATTTATCTGATTATTGTTTATCCAATGTAGCACCTGGTTCTGCAGTGCTGGGTCAGGCATCTGCCTGAGTAATCAGGGACCTGGGGAAAGAGGTTTACTCAATCTAGTCTGGATGGATGTGCATAGGATGGTGCTTCGTTTCTGTTCTGTTGCTCAATAATGTTACCTTCAGCAATCATCTCTTACTTCTAGACATTTAAGGGGAAATGAATCCTCCCCTTCTTTTGGTTTGTCATCAGTTTTATTTTATGCTTGAGCAAAATGAAGGTACAAGAATTTCTCATCCCAATTACAAATACAGGATTGCTTTCACTCTTAAAATGCCACTCAGTTGATTTTATTTATTTATTTATTTTTATGATTACTGCTTAAAAAGAAAAATCTTGGTGATTTATACCAAAATGTGTTTCTGAGTGATAGGGACACTTTGCAGGTAGATTTATGGCGTTTTTACCATCTGTTTTTTAATAAATGAGTCAGCAGAGTGTTTCAAAATGACCTCCGGTTACAGTCATGAAATGTGAGTTTGAATGCTACAAGTGAGTTATAGACATTAGAATGCTACGAGTACTCTTTTTCCCTGAAAATAGTTTGATTGGTTGTTTAGAAGCTCATGCTTTCATTTATATGGAAATATGTTAATATACATTAATGCAGTGTTTCCATGTACTGAAGCTTTGGAGACAGCAGGGCTCTGTGGTGTGGTAATCTAGGCAGAGGTCGCTTTGCCCTTGCACATTTTGAAAAACACTGGAATGGGTATTTTGCTGTTGCTTTTTATTTGAAAAGGAGTTAATAAAAGTAAATGCACCAGAAGAAATTCATGAAATCGTTGAACAGATAAAATGGTATTATTTGAAATGCATAATGCTGCATAATGAATTTATATAAAGTGTAGCAGAGATGAAGTGCTCTCCAAACATAATGAAGGAAACATGGATTCCGTAATTGAAGTTCTGTTGTACTTACTTGCTGGGAAGAATGGCAGGATTTCTGAACAGATTTGCTTTCCATTAGCAGATAAATATATCTGTAGCTCTGGATTCCCAGCCAACAATAAAAAAAAAAAAAAAAAAAAAAAAAAAAAAAAAGTTGGATGGAAGATTTTCTTTCATGATAATTAAATGTTGTGACTGCAGATTTTTACCTCTAAAGTGAGTGTAGCTTATCTGCATTTAAAAAGTTTTAATTGCTTGCATGCTTTACAGGAGCTGCACAGAGATAAGAATGTCTGATCCATGGAACAAGAGAAAAGGATATAAATATGTTATAGTCCATTTTTCTTTTTTAAAACTGTAATAGACAGTTTTACTACAACTAATAGGTTGTAAAAATACTTGCCATTAGTGGTCTGAAGGTGTCAGATGTGTGCTGTTGCTAATTCTCAGGTCAAAGATTTGGGGTTGAGGATGTCATTAAGCTGGGGCTGTATCATGGAATCATATAGTGGCTTGGGTTGGAAGGGAGCAACCAAGGACCATCTAATTCCAACCCCCAGCAGCGTGCAGGGCTGCCAACCACAATATCAGGCATTGGATCAGGCTGCCCAGGACCCCATCCAACCTTGCCTTGAGCACCTCCAGGAGTGGAGCTCTGGCACAGGGGTGAATGCTTGTGTCTGGGGCTTGGGTCAGCTCTACCAGGTGCCAAGCTGAAATACAGGAAGGCTTGCAGCTCTCCTGAGTTCAGCCTGGTCTTTGGAATACTGCTAGAATGTAAGTGATAAAAACAAAAGCATCACCTGGGAATTCATTGCTACTCTAAACTCTTGACTTCTTTGGAGGACTGAGATGTCTCTGAAGTTTTATTTTTCTTAGTACCTACAGTTACATTTGTCTTGGAAATGCAGCTCTGCGTATCTGTATGGGGCAGTTCAGCTACTGTGAGAGGTTGCTGGCCTTCATATGGCAGCCCATCTGAGAAGCTGAGCTGTAGCAGTTTCAGGTAAACTAAAATAGAGAGAGACCTGCTGTACACTGTGTTCTTTTATCTGCCTCCTAGGCACTCTTAATGGCTATTGACAAACCTAGACTTGTTGTAAGAGGGCTGAAAATTTGCTTGGCTTTGGTGGGAGAGCATTTCTTTCTCTTAGAGGAGAAAAAAAGGAAAGCTTTTCCCTGCTTGTTTTTGAAAGAGCTTTTCTCTAATTTTGTCGCTGCCGTTGTCTCCTTGGGGGTGATGGATTAAAGGTTTTTCTCTCTCTCTTTCCCTCTTCTGTCTTACAGAAATGGCATCTGATATTCCTGGCTCGGTGGCCTTGCCAGTGGCACCGATGGCAAGCGGCCAAGTGAGAATGGCAGGGTCCATGCCTTCCAGAGGGGGAAAGCGACGCTCTGGGTAAGGCATGTCTTCAGGGCTGAAACTGGAAATATCCATCTGTATGTTTATTATGTAATGTTGATGTAGGTAACTGTCTAATGGCATTAGTCACTGGTGTTCTGTTTTTCTCTTCAATGTATCTGCTCTTCCTGCAAGATCAAACTGGCTGATAAGAGTACTGTTTGTTGTTTTGCACACTTCAAAAGATTTTTCGGATTTGGCAAAGCATCCAGAAGCAGAATTTGGATCCTGTGGCTGTTTTTCATGTAACGATTGCACGTTGCCTACATCTGTTTAATCTCAAGAAGAATTCATCATGTGAATAAAGGTAGCAAGATTTGTTCTTGCTTGTGCGTGCCTGCTATCCAACTTCATCTGAAAAGTGGATCTGGAATCTCTCAAATAGATGCCTTCTGTTGAGAATGTTTTCTTTATAGTCCCAGGTACATGGAAAGCATAAGCAGCTTCTCTGTTCGATGTTTGTGGTCTGTGACATTCTAAACCTTAGTGGAACTGTAGCAGAGTCTCTCCAGCTTGGGGAGAAGGAGCCTAAATCAAGTCGAGCTCCTCACCTACTTGAGTGTCCTGCTAAAGAAAAAAATCTGTTTTTTTCCAAATGTAAAAGTTGATGTGATGTAGCCATAGCTTTTCCACATCAGATTGTTCTGTGCAACTCATAGAATCGTAGTAATCTGTATTAGAAGAAAGGTGTCTTGAGAGCTACAGAAGAACAACAAATCACTCTCTAGTATTATCAAAAATACTATTTATTTATTTATTTTTTTTTAATAAAAAAAGCTTTATCACAAGTAATGATCTGTAGGTGATTCTTTCCCAGAGTTCTCTCTGGTACGATTCTGCCTGCAAACGAAATCGATTGGTCTTACATTTAGTCCTAAGCATTGCAGTGGAAGGGCTCAGAATGAATGGTAATGTGAATAAAATCTTCACTGACAGGCATCTGGTGAGAAGCCCTAATTCCCTGTGAGCCATCCAGTCCTAGGTGCCGGGTTGAGGAGCAGTGCTGGAGCCTTGCTCCTGGAACGAGTTGAGGAAGGAGAACATGGACCTTATCTTGGGCACACGATTGGGCTTGTGGGTTTTTTTTCTGGGGGAAGATCTTCCTTCGGATAGGATGGTTGTTCCCCTTTGAGTGTGCTTCCATGTGCTGAGCCAATTGTATAAGATTGTTTGGAAAAATTACCCAAAATGTTTTTGACAGGCGTTTATGGTGGGAAACATTTTAGTGACAAAGCCTGTTCAAGCCTCAGTAGAAGAAATAGAGCATTAGCAACTTTTCATTGCTACATAGCATATATAACCTCTTGTGCTTTTGGATTAAAGGATATTTATCTCTTTTTTTCTTTGATCATAAGCCACACAAGTACGCACACCGGCTTGCAAATTGTGGTTGCGAAGGATTGATGCTACTAACTGTGAAATCTTCTGATTATACTAGGTACTGATTTGATAATTAATTGAAAGCTGTACACTAAACATTGCATTTTAAATATCCTCAATCTATTTGCAAGGAAGGGGAGTGAGGGAGGATGGGAGGAACATAAAATCAAATTATTTAAAATGTATTTAATATGCAAATTCAGTGAATTAGATAGTATAAATTTGCAGCTATACCCAGACTGTGGTGTTTCATCTGTGCACTGTGGCTCTAAACCAGCAGCCCTTCTTCAAGCCTGAGCCGGGGGTGCATTTTTTTTCCTTTGCTGTGCAGTATTCAGGCCTGGAGGGAAAGAATGCCTGCTGTGTCTGATGCCTTGTAGCGTCTCTTTGAACAAAGTTGCAGCTAACACTTGGTCCTTTCATTACTGCCCTGGTGGTGCATCTTTATGCACCTAAATCCTTGGGCGTTTTAGAAATGAGTGCTTTGTGTCAGGCATAAAGGAATATAGCTCTGAACGCAGTGGTCTTTTCTAGCTTCAGTTATCTCTGAAAATTGTTTCTTTTCTCATAATTGCTGAGGCAAGCTGGCAGAATAATTGCTGCGTGGTCTTGAATGTAGATCAGTTTGAGCTCATTGGCTATCCAGGAGGTGTTTCTGTGGTGCAGGCATTCAGCTTCATTGACAGCTCAGAAAAATATTTTTCCTTTCTACAGATTATACCGAGCGCTTCGTAGAAAAAAGTGAGAGCCTCGTAGTGTGTAAGCTAATACATCGCTGTGATCAATAACTTCCTCACATAAAGTAGTTTTTCTTTAGGCTTTGCTGTATTGGAGGAGAAGGGGCTTTTTCTGCAGTCATGAAGGGCTGAGTTCTTGTGTATTTACAGTTGCATTGGTTCTGTTCCATTCCGTCACACACTCCTGTCTTTTCTCTAATGCAGCGCTGGGAGATCTGAGCAGGACTGACTGCTCCCCCGTCTCTCCCCCCACCTTGTACTGCACGAGGGGCTGCAGTGCACACTCCATACACAGCTCAGCTCTGCCCCTTACCCATACTGAACATACTCAGCATTGCTTAGGAATTTTACATAGCCATTTTGTTTCAGTGTTCAAATCCTTTCCCATCTCGTTTTTTAACCTGTGCAGAACCTCCTTGTGTTTGTTTGTTTGTTTTTTTAGTTTGTTTTTTTTTTTTTGTATGGAAATGTTTCCAATTAAATACAAATAAAAAGCATATTTTTGTCATATTACTTACATTGCTCACATATCTTCTTGTGGAAAATGTGTTTTAGTAAGTACTTCATACGTCAATTCCTTTCACAGATTGATGTGATTAATGTGACAAAGGAAAACAAGATTTATATTCTTCAAAACAAAAGAGTGCAGTGCAGCTCTTTCTTAAAGTATCTTTTTAATGGGAATTTTAAATGATGATAAGATACTCCTTCAGTGACTTCTGAAATTATATCATTTGTCTTCTTTGAGGCTGCTTCCACTGCTCTGCTAATGTGCAGTATATTCTATCTGAACAGAAGATCTTATCTGCCAGGGTAGAGGAGTTGGTTGGAATATTATTTTGTTGCATCTTGCTGTGATGAGCTAAAGGTTGCAGCTGATTCCCTATCTTTCAGTTTGGCTTACTGTAGAGCAGATGCAGTGATTCAGTCAGGGAGCTGAAATCACTGGATTTTAACCTGAGATTTATTTCATGCTGCACACCAAAATTAGGAAACTTGTTTATTAACAACAGTGGGACAGGAATACACTTCCATTTTTACAAGTATTGACATTTTTATGAACTTCATGTAATTTTATTTTTATTTTTATTTTTTTTGCACTTGGAAAAGAGTTGAGATTTTCTAGTAGTCTTACAAAGCAAAGATCTTAAAGACTTGAGACTGCTGCAGTCTGGTAGCAGACTGTGGTGAACCTATTGTGAGTATGATAGGAATGACCTACAGAAGTTGAAAAATTAGAATCTCTTAAGAAGAAAAACAGATATCCAGCCACTTAGATAAACTGATGAGTTACTTCCAGATGGGTGAGTGGGGCTGTGCGTACAGCATGGGCAACAAGGCTGAGCCTCATCAGTTTCTCTGTCATTTTCTATATTGCATTTTAGAAACAATAAAATAGACTCAATGCAGAAGAGCCAATATTTGATTCGGTGTGGTGACGGGGAAATTCATCTCTTAGCGCTCAGTTGAAGTATTTCATGGGAAGCCAAGAAAATACCCAGGCATATAATCCTAGTGTATTGGAGCGGAAGAAAAAGGGAACACAAAATGAATTCATCCCAACTCAATCTCTGAGGAAGGGTCCTGGCATAGCACAGGATGTGTGGCTGGCCGCTGGAGGTCGGTGTTGTTCTGCGCAACGCAGCTGTGAGGTCACTGCCAAGGGAAGTGATTTACAGGGTGGATTTGGTGATAATTGGGTGAGCAAAAATGCAATTTCTTCTGAAAATGATGATTTCATCAAACTTAACCAAGTTAAAGATGTATTTCTTCTTAAGACTCCTTTGGGAAAATGATTTTCTCCCTGCTTCCTCTAGCAACGAATAACCACTATTGCCATCTGGAAAATATTACTCTGCTGTTCCTAATTCCTTTACATATATGCTGCTTGTGTCCTGATTGAACGTAGGTTGCTGTGAGTCAGATGCATCTTTTATAGACCAGTCTGTCTTTGATATCAAAATAAGGAAGCAAGGCTGTACTGTCTAGATGGGGCACATACTGCTGTATGTTCGTTTAATTATGAAGAGTTCTTACACCATTGTTCCCACACTCTGAGCATACAAATCTTAATTTTTAATTTGAAATGTTTTTTAATATTGAGATAAATATCGTTGTCACTTTGCAGAGTTTTGCAGTTAATATGACATACCTATTGTTAACGTGAAGTGGTAGAGACGTTGAGTTGGTAATTATATCAAATTTATTACACTGAAATGTTAGAAAACTTAGGATGTGAAGAAGCTCAACAAAACCCTTTATAAAATGGAACTATGATTTTCAACCTACATGAATTACTTTTATGTGGCTGCTCAAGTCTCCATCATACTAACATACTTCTTTATTAAAATTGATATACCAATACAATAATTGTATCTGAAAATTTTATATTGGCTTGGTTCTTAGTCTGTTGTAATGCCAAAGTCACCTCTGTTATTAATGGGATGTCTATTCGTCCACCTCTTCATAGAGGTGGTGGTAAACTGCTTGGAAACATTACTACTTCTACAGAATTTGTAGCAACTTAACATCAACAGAAAGGAGATGATCATGCTGCCTGACATAGGAGAGTAATGCAGTTGGCTAATTTAGGAGGTTAATCTTTCCAGTCTCACTGCGTTACAAACGAGGAAAGGTTCCTGCTTTTTGTGGCTCCAGAGCAGCCCAGCTAGATGGCTGGGATTTGACCCAAGGAGAAGCTCGTTCTGTTGACTTAAGGAGGTCTTGGACACGAGGAAGGTAAGTTAGGTAGACCCATAGGTCACTTCAGTTTGGCCTAGATGAGGACGGCAATGTAATTGCCATCCGCAGGCTGGCTGGCAATTCTTCTGAGATGTGGTTGTATAGGGCTAAAGAACGTATCACAGTTAAAATCAATAGAGGCAAAGTACGTAATCCTCTCAGCAGAGAGGCTCAGAGTTCATTCTGCTTTACCTCCAATGTGATCTTTAAAACAGGGGTAAGAACAGTGTGTACCTGCAGAACTTTATATTCTTTAGGCAGAATTTCAGTTCTTATATGGAGTCTGTACTGATTTCTGAAGGCTTCTATCAGGCCTAAGAGAGAGTTCTTGTCACCACTTCACAGGAGCTGCATTTTCTATTATTTGTTTATTATTATTGTCTAATATTTTCTATTATTTGTTAATGTAGGTGGTGCAGATTTTTGAAGAGCAGAACAGAGTGAGGGTTTGTTTGTTGTTGTTTGTTAACTTGTGTTCCTCGTGTTCCTGGCTCCATCCTGAGCTACTTTCAGAGGATCTGGAGAGCATGAGACTGAATCTACGGTCATTAACACCTCCAATTAACACAAACTAAACAAGATTGAGAACTGCTGGCTTGAATGTGTATATCACCATTGCCAATTTCATGATTACGTATTTGGAAATCTTCATTTTACAGGATGGATTTCGATGATGAAGATGGGGAGGGACCCAGCAAATTTTCAAGGTGAGCCTTCATAAGGAGTTGGCCAAATTGTTGACTCCTTCAGTGGAGGAAGACAGCTTTCTCAGTGCTGCTATTTTAAAGTCTGTTGGCAGCTTCTTTAGCCCGTAGCCACAAAACTTGTCTTAAATTCTAGTTAGCTTTTTACCTGCTTCCTCTGCAGGTTAGGCACACTGGCGGAAATTTGCTCAGTGTAGCTGTTGGCTTGCAAAGCTGACAGTTTGCTTTGTCATAATAATTTCATCTGCAGCTAAAAATTGCAATTTTTCTCATTTGACGTGGCTTAGTATTTCAGCTGCTGTAAATGAATTTTGGTCATTTGACATTGCTGAAGTTGTCTTTCTGCCACTGAAAACGAATTTTATTTTGAACTTAGTTCAGATGTTAACTACTTTCTGAGACAATATGACAGATCCTAGAGGCGAGGATTGAGGTTTTTTTTGAGATTAAAGCTCATTATGTACCATTAAGTGTAACTGGATAGTAAAAATTGCCAAAATAAATATTAATATTATAGTTTACGTGGAATATTCTATGCTAGAAATAAAAACAAGCATTAAAGCATCATTGCCATTTTTCACTTTTCCTTTTGTTCTGATCACACTATCTGCGTTTTTTCATCAGAAACCAAGTGGCTGCTCTTGGAATAGGTGCTTTGAGGCCTACAGATAACTGCTAATTACTCAAATTGTAATTGCAGCTATATAGCTGCAGACATATTCAAGCACAGCTGTCACTGTAGGGTTTTAACATTATCATCCTAGCCAGTCTGAAAGAAAAGTATGCTGAAGATGTGCTGTAACACCATAGCGTAACCTTGTGGATGGGACCAGCAGCGCTCATGTTCAGCTGTTATCATTTCCTGAAAGCATGTTCCAGCCTGTGGTACTAAAACTGATGGTCTGAGGGCTAGTCATAACACTTTCTAGAAGATGCCTGCTGCCGATTCATAACCAATATGGCCTAATTTGTGCCTGTACAAGCATCAGGGTTTCTAGACACAGTGCTACACACACTTTTGTCTGGCTCTGCCCTGGCTTCGGCCTTTGAAAATCTGGGGGGGAGAGCCAGTAGTTCCATAATTTTTTTTTGCAGAAGTATGATGTGCTGTGCTACGTCTCTGATTTTAGATGCTAGATCAAAATGTGATTTTTAAATCTTAAACGCTGTAGAAATCCCAGATGGATTTTGGAGAAGGTACAGAAGAACAGTGCAGAGATGGAGTACCTCGGGAAGGATCCACTCAGAGAGGTCAGCTGTGGGGCTGGAAGGGAGAAAAGATTAGTGGAAGCAGCAGCACCTTGAGCAACCAGCCAGATGAGGGTGAGCAGGCAAACTGCAAGCTAGGGCAGCTCTGTAGGTAGTTGTGTTAGCATGGTGCTCCATGTGGGTTAACACACCTTACTTCTCAGGGAGTTCCCAGCCAGCTCAGGTATTTGCATGGCTTGTCATGGGCACATGAAGATGCATGTTACTTCTCACCTAATGGCATATGGCAATTCCTCATTGAATCTGTTTTTTTGTTTAAACTTCGTAGAGCACTGTATGTTCTCTGGGCAGAGTCAAGTGGAAGAAAGTGACTTTTCACTTGAATGTTTTGAGGGTGCTAGTGTTAAATGTAATTCAGAAAGGAGTGCAGCTCAAGTCTCGCTTATGCTTTGTCATGACAGTGTGAATGAGATTTAATGAGGAAGGAAAATAAATCTCATAGAAGATTTTGTATGTTTTAACTACTTAAAATTACTTTCAACTCATTTGTGAAGAAAAAAATAATTAGTATTTCAGAACAGAAAAGATGCTTTCTTACACCATCTTTACTTATCAGGTAATATGTAGAAGCTCCATAGGCTTTCTTTAGCAGTAAATTACATTGTTTTAGAAAGGCGTAATTCTGATAGAATATCTGACTTTGCTGTTGAAGTAGTAATAGTCTCAGTTCTAAAGAAGCCTTTTGCTTATTTTGTTTCATTTTTGTATTTTAAAGAACCTACACATTCTGTTTTGGAGCAAGAGTTTTGATTTCTCCAAATATGGTTTTCTAGGTGCAAAAATATGTCTTTGTAACTTCTTTAGCAAACTTAATTTCAAAGGCTTGATGCCTTTCATAGGAAAAGTACATGAGGAACATATTATTTTTCAATGAAATGTCGCATTGCTGCCTGTCTCTGGGACAGCACATCAGAAAGACTGAAGGTTTAATCAATGGGGCTGATGTCCCACGGATCTGGATATCCTCATTGATTTGCTGCAAGTATCTGTTTAGGCATCAGACTTCTGTTAATTCAGAAAGGAATGAGGTATCTGCTTACTTTTAGGGATCTAAGCCAGTTATAATTTCACTTCTGTTCACCCAGCAGTTTCATGCCTGCCCAGCTTTTGCCAGTCTTTCCAACAAGTGGTACAGTGTAGATACCTACTAGAGCTTTTTTTTCTCAAGGCATCTCTGTATAATGCATTGCACTTAAGTGTGTGTCTCTCTGCCCTGCCGTGTTATCTGTAGACCATCAGTGCCCTCTGCTGAGTTGTGGTTGCAATCTGGAAAAGATAACTCTGTTTCACTTCCAACATAGCAATGAATATTTCATGGGCTGCTGTCGGTAGAAGCTCAGTGGTGTTTTCTGTTACGGTGCTGGTTGTGAAGTTTCCCAAGTGATGAGTGTACGTTAGTGTTTGCGTAAATCCAATGAAATCTTCAACTTTTTTTTAAATGTACAAAGGAAGTTTTTGAATTGGCGTGGCTTGGAAGTTCCATTGAGCTCCATAGTTTCTTTGCTTTATCATTTTCATGCCCTCATTTTTCTTGCTGTTTTTTGTAATAGTTTGCAGTTGTGAACCTCTTTGCTTTTTGCTGCTTGTTGACTTTCCTAAATGTATAACCCTTGTGAATTTACTTACTGTCTTTTGTTTATAGGTATGATGGTGATCAAATATCTGGTGATAAGGAAAAGTTTGCAAGGTAGGCATGTTCCTGAGAGGTCTCCTGCTGAGAGAAAAGAAGGGAATGGTCATATCCAGAACATCTTAGTATGTGTGCCTTAGCTTAGAGAGCTGGTTATTTTGTTTCTAGATGGGAAGATGATCGAAGTACTGCTGACACGAAAAGGATGGCCAGTAACAAAGAAGGAAAATCAAAAGTGATTTTTTTTCCCATTTTTGTTTTCTATGATGCCCTTCTGACTGATCAAAAGTAGAAAGGGTTGGCTGATCTAAAAATTCTTGAGGTCAGCAACACTAACCTTGGACCTTCGTGGGTTTGAATCAGCTCCCACAATCTCTCACAATGTAATGTTCCTCCAAAACTTCCATGCAAAAACAAAGTTAGAAATTACAGAATTAGGACATCATATTGAATGAATGTTTATGAATGCCAGGGTTCCATGGGCAGGCCCTTTTGGAAAAGGAACACGATCTGTCTTTTAGGAGTTTAAGTTTGAGCTAGCTTCAGGAAACTTTCAGAGCTTTGTTTGGTTGATCCCTTTCATAGCCAATTGGTTAACGTGCTATTACTTTTTATGATCATAAATAAAATGGACTATTGAATATTCTTATTTTTCTTCTCTTTTGCTGTGTGTTTATTCTTTACAATAGTTGTTTATAATTGATTGGGAGTATCAAGATAATTTAGTGGCAGATAGGGGAATATATATTTGTGAATGTAAAATATGTGTTGAGTGCTTGTGTTTTTTTGTCTCTCAGTTACCATTTCTGTGAAAATGCTGAACTTAGATCAAGCTTTCATCATGTAAAAATGCATTTTTCTTTCTTCTGCCCATATTTATCTGCATATGTATGCTGAGTTGTACACACATGCTGTTACGTACATGCACATTGTCACACAAGATGTTCTGCTTTTGTGTGCATACAGTCCAGCTCTCACAGGCTCTGTTCTCTCCCACAGATGTACAGACCACGCAAAGGCTCTGTGTCAGCCCTTTGAAGTGGAAAGTTTCATTATTAAGTTGTAATAAATAGCTAAATCAGTAGTGACCTTTTCCAAAGGACTGCTTGTAATTTACTAAAACACAGTGGCCTGTCACTGCGGGCCTTATACATTCCTTGATTTCATGAGTATTGGTGTAGTAGCGTAGGCATCAGTGGGAATAGTAACTGCATGTAGCCCTTAACAAATAGCATTCCTGTAGAAAGTGCCTCTTGCATGGAACACTTGTATGTGCAGGAAGGAGGTTATATGCTGTAAAGCAGGGCAAGCCCATGCATTCCTTTATTTCGGAAAGCAGCATACTACAGCTTGGATTTTTCTTCTCATTTTAAGAAAAGGCTCCATTATCAAACTTACTGCAAAATGTGCCAAGCCTTTCATGATCATTCTTCATAACGTTCAATTTCAAAGAATGCTGGAATTTCTTTTAAAGTTGTGTTATCATACTGATCAGTGCTGGTGGACTCTCCATGTGATCACCATGTCATCTTGTTGGATCAGCCAGAGATCCCACAAGAAAAAGCCATGCAGAGCTCATTGAAATCAGTGGAAGATGCTGCTTCGACATCTGAAGCATCACATGCCTGTTGTATACTTGTATTTAGCTGCCATCTGACAGGTACAGTATGTGAAAAATAAGTGCTAGGCACTGAAGAATTCTAGGTCTCTTTGGACCATCTCTCTCAGTTGTATGTACTGGTGTAATTCCTTGATAGCAATCAGACAGTGGTGACTTACAGTAAAAGAAAACTGAACTCTGAGATCTTCAATTCTGGCAGGCTTTGGTGACTGTCAGTTTTGAGAATTTTAAGTTGGCTCACCAACTCAGTCATATGTTTTCTATAAAGGATGAGAACATCGGAGCTCAGCCTGTAGCAGGGCAGCATCAAGTACTGTCACTGTTACTTCCCTGCTGTGTTAGTTTGTTTTTGTCTTCAATTCTGACCTATGTCTGATGAGCCAGATGTTTACTTGCTGTCTTGTGTATTTCTTTTATATATATACTTCATTTATTTTAAGTAGTGTTACACCATATATGGTCTTAGTTCTGCAGTCTGATCCTATAGTGTTTCCCTGCAAGTGTGAGGCCTTGTACTGGGAGGCTGGACTTGGCACACAGCATTAGAGGACATGGAGATCTTTGTCGTCATTAAGTGGGTGTTTTCAGCTGGGATACAGGGTTTTTTCTCCTACATAGTGAGATGTGATCCAGTTACTAGTGAGAGCTTTCCTCTATAGGAGGCCTCCTGTAAGCATAGCCAACAGCTTGAGCAAGGTCTGGAAGGTGTGTGGTGCATCACAACTTCGGCAAATTCAGGACTTTGGCAGGAGTTGGCAGGTGTACCTCAAATATTTCTACTTCTATTATTTGTCCTTAAACCAAAGGAAATTAAACAGGAACCAGCAGGATAGAAATTTGAGTTCTTTCACAGCTATAGGCAAATCGTCCTTTGTGGCCTGGATTTTCTGGCTATAAACTGAGAGATAGCAATGCTCAGCTTTGTAAAGCACTTTCCTCTCCTGACATGGTAACTACAAAACAAGTGTAAAGTATTACGATCTCTTACCCCCATTTGAAAATCTCACTCTGATTATGTCTGCTTTTCTGTTGGTTTGGTGTTTCTCTAAATGATCAGGGAGAATCACAGTGAGATTGAGAGACGCAGAAGAAATAAGATGACGCAGTACATCACGGAGCTGTCTGACATGGTGCCCACGTGTAGCGCGTTGGCTCGTAAGCCTGACAAGCTGACAATCCTTCGGATGGCTGTTTCACACATGAAATCAATGAGGGGCACTGGGAACAAATCTACCGATGGAGCTTACAAGCCATCGTTTCTTACGGAACAGGTAGATCTTCTCACAAATGTCTGTTTGTTCTGTAAGGAGTTCTAGGCAGCTGAACTGGGCTGTGATGGATCCCATCTGTAATATCTGGGGTACTTTACTGGTTACATTTTTAGTGCAAGAGGGAAGGTGCACCCAGTACTTGAAGAAAAACTGTGTTTGACTGAATGCACTGGAAATTCCTACAATCTTCGCTGTTTGTGAAGTCCTATGGGTGTAATGTGCATTTTTGTGGTCTGAACAATTTAAGTACTTACATGTGTAAGTTATGGCTAGAGGCAATACTTTTTTTTTCTGTTAGAGAAACAGCAGCTGCTGCTGACTTCTCAGTATTCACATCTCTACTTATTTTGGCTTTCCTAAAGTGTGCCTCTGGAGGTGCTGTGCCATTCAACTGCTTTTTGGTACGACACCTTGCTTGCTTAACATTGCAATTTTTTTTGAACCTTGAAGAATGACAGAATTTATTTTAATCTTTGTTAATAATATATTCAAAGCAGATCTCATTATCCTTTGAATAGTTCAGCAGTGAGTTTTTTATATAGAATATGTTCAAAATTGGTGTGCTTTCTTTCTGATGAAAAAGTTGAAGCCAGCAGTAGTCTTCAGGCTGATAAGTATTGATGTGTTATTCATTCTTTGGAGGCCTTAGCAGAATTCATCAGGTTATAATCCTCGCCTTACCAGGTAGTATCTGCCACTTGCTCGCTCTCTTACCTGAACTGGGAAATTTATCCAAAGCTCTGTCTGAATTCCAGATGCAGTAACTCACTGCTCTATCTTAGCAAGCCCTTGCATTCACAAGAGCCACCAAGCAAGAGCTGTGAAGCTTGTTTTCTGTGAATTGGAGTAATAGTTGTCATCATTTCACAAGAGAAGTTTTCAAGCTCTGTTAACCAAGGGTAGCATGTTCTCATGATGCATGCAGCCGTTTGCATATGCATGTCAAGCTGTTGAGTGTCTAGACCAAGTAGGTATCTGAAAGTGAAGGACACATTGGAAAAGGAAAGCAAGAAATGATGCAACTTTCTTATGCTCAAACATCCTAAGGGGAGAGGAGGCTGAGGATTCCTATCCTTGCCCATGTTACAGTTTCTGTCTTCCATCCAGTGACTGTTTAATTTACAAACAGAGCTTATCCTGAGGGGAAAAAAATCCACAAAAACTGACAGGAGAGCTTGTTCATTTCTTTCCAATTAAATTATCCAGGACATGTAATTAAAGGATGAAACTGCCATATGAGTTATAGTCCTTAATTTCCTCAGTACTTTTAAATTACTTTTATTTTTATTTTTTTAATACTAGATACCAATCATGCAACATGCAGCAAGTTTTACTTAGTTAATTTTCCTAATGTGAATTGAGATCACCTGTTGAAAGGCAATAAAGGAGAACAAAATTTTGGTTGTTATTAAGGTCAGTTTACGTCTTACTGCAAACTTGAACGTGCCGTTATTTCAGTACTGCAAAGAAAACTTCTCCCAGTGTTTTGATCATCTACTAAAGTCTCTAAAAAATAATATTCTTTGGCACTGGCAGATGTGTTATTTAATTTCTTTTTCATGCTGTCCTTCTAATCAAATCCCTTCCTTGGAAGGAACTGAAACATCTTATCCTGGAGGCTGCAGATGGGTTCCTGTTTGTGGTTGCAGCGGAGACTGGGAGAGTCATCTACGTATCGGACTCAGTGACTCCTGTGCTCAACCAGCCGCAGTCCGAATGGTTTGGCAGCACATTATATGAGCAGGTTCACCCAGACGATGTGGAAAAGCTACGGGAGCAGCTGTGTACATCTGAAAACTCAATGACAGGTCAGATTTGTCCAAAGCATGGTTTGTTGTATTACAGATCCCTGCTGATGTTTTCTGCCGTTCAAACAACTGTTTTACAAATCTCTTAAAAATTGAGTTCAGTGAGATTAGAATACCTTTTTCCTGCAGGCACTGAAGTAATATAAGTCATCTTTTGTGTTACTGCATTTTGTTTGACTTGAGTCAAATCACTTTCATATAGCTCTATCTTCAAACTTCTGGCTTGGGTAGGTTTGGAAGCTGAATTGTTTTCAGACATCGTCTGGAAATCTAGATTGTTTTGCCTTCATTCTCTGTGAACTTGTGACTTCTTTACAAATATGTATTTCTTTATGGCAGTGTTTATTTTGAAGGCAAAAGTCATCCTTCAGACTTTTCCATTTTCATAAAAGCTCCTTGTGGTTTTTTAACGGGAATCCTGGAAAAAAAAAGAACATCTAGTGTTTGGCAGCTGGAAGTCTGATGTGAATTTTAAACAAGAGTTCTGCTCCTGTAGCAGTGGTGTAAGTTAGCTGCAGTTGACAATGTGTTATTTAACACAGAAAACTGTATTATACTTGTAGTATAATTCTGGCTTTTACAGTTATTCATGTTTGAGGCTGCCAGTAGGGAACTATCCTCTCTTTAATAGAATATGCATATGTCAGAGCTATGAGAAGTAACTAAATCCTATTTTAACTCAAAATTGGAAAATGGAAAGCTCAGCATCTCTTTTTATTCTTCCATATAATGTGTTTATAGCTAAAAGAAAAAAGAAAACAACTGCAACTGGGAGAACATTACGTATAACCAAATCCTGATCAATGTTAAAGGCACATAATTTCTCCTTGCTGTAGTAGTTCAGACTTCTGACCTGGCTTGCTGGAAGTTTTGTTGTGTTTCATAACTCAAAGGACAGTGAACCAGTTTTGAGTGAACCTGCATGCTGTTTACAGCTTCCATGTTAAAGCAGTGCCAAATTCATGGCTTCCTGTGGTTTGAATATGATGTGGTTTTGGCAGAGCTTTCCTCTGTTCATATTGAAAACTCAAAGCAAAATTCTGTGGTAAAAATCCAGATGGATCAAAACCAAACAAATGATTAGGGGAACCTGTGCAGAACAAAACAGCTGAGTTCTGTACCGCTTTAAAATGTATATGTGAGATCTGCAAAAGAGCACAGTCACTGTTTTTACTATATAGCATGTTACACATTATAATGCACGTTACCATTTTCCTCTAAGAAGTAATTCAGAACCCAGTTGAACAGTCGCACTTAGACTTCCAGAAGTGTTCTGATGGTTAGTGGGCTTAAGCTGCATAAACTGAAGCAGGACTAGAGAAATGCTGAGCAGTTCTGAAAGTCCAAGTCTGTGTTTCTTTCATTTTTCTTTTCTTTTTACACTGAAGTCATCTTTAGCCAGTGGAAAGAAAAGTTCAAATAATTGTATTTGTAGAGCTAAATCCTTTCTTTCCTGTCTGAGTCTTTTGGAGTTGTCAGATTGCCACAGAATTCTTTTAAATCAACAGCACAGGGGCAGCAAAAGTTTTCCCAGTGTGAGAGAAACAGCCAGTTTAGAGCCAGGACGGCCTGCTTATCTGCACTCTTAAAGGTGTGAAGTCCAGCTGGGCGTAGAAAGATACTTTTTAGAGACTGGTGAATATGTGCAACTACAGCCTTTTCGAGCATGTGCAGGGAAGAACAGTTCACAATTTATCCTGACTATACAGAGATATTGTACAAGTTTTCCTGTGCAAAGTTACTGTGGTTACTTGTGCACTGCAAGTATTGACCTTGGGAAATACCATTAAACAAGAGCAGCACTTCTCTTTATGGACTGTTAGCTAAGCATCAGTTTTCTTTTAAATAGTATGTCAGGAGCATCACTCACTCCTTGAGATACCTTTTTGAGAGCAAGGTCATTCCAGAGTCTGTTCAATCAGTTCCACTTTCCTTCCTGTGACACAAGCCATATTCAGAGTAACAGCATTGCAACAGGTAGGAATAAACTGTAGTGAACAGAAATAATGAGTGCCTTAGTGATTTTTAGAAGCAAGTGAAGTGGGCAAATGCTCTTCTTCCAAGTCAATGTTTACCAAACCAATTGGGCAGCCCAAAGTCTCTCTAGGCTTTCAAAAGTTACGTTTCATGAAGAAGAAAGGCCAGTGCAGACTTTAGGGAGCTGTAAACTGCAAGGCAGCCAGCCATAAGTTTTATTTCTTTCTTTATTTACTTATTTATTTTCCTTCCCAAAGTGGAGTTCACCACAGGCAGCAGGAAAAACCACATTGTTTAGTGGCCTCTGGCAGTTGAATACAGGGGCTACTTAGAAGAAGAGATTTTCTGGTGAAAGAGTAATGAAGTGCTAAGATTTTTAATTTTACTCTCTTCCTCACCTTCTCAGGGTTTGTTTTCTCAACACTGTAGCCTCCCTCCTTGAGCCCTCAAACTGAGGAACTAATGACAACATGCTGACAAAGGAGAGCCTTCATTTGCACCAGATCAGAGCAGTGTCCTCTGACTGTACTTGTTATCAGCGGTGATCATTATCAGTGCATTTCTGGGGTTTTCCCAGCTCCTCCTAGCAGCCATGTCATGTATAAAATGCTCCAGACCCCAAGAACTTGTGAGGCTGCCATTGCCAGAGGGAAGAGAGAGAAAAGCTGATGGAGAAAGCAGTTTTCCTCTCACATTTCTACCCTCAGGAATAAGACCGGGACTGTGGTTGCATGAGCGTCTCTTTGGCAGTCGTACCAGCTTATGCAATGCTCACCTCATTTCACCCACTAATATTTTGGCATTTGCCATGACTCACTGTAGTACCAGATAAAGGGGCCAGCCCAGCTGAAAGCTAGCCTAAGCAAAAAAAAAAAAGCCACCTTGTTTGTAGTTGAGAGCTCTTTGGCTTGCCTTATCTTGGGGTTGCTTGAACTCTGTGCTAGCACAAAGGAGAAGCAGGGAATAGTTACAGATCAGGAGAGGACAGGACTTCAGGAGCAGTAAAAGCATATGCCAAACTGAAGTGGCTGTTTAACTATGGACTTAAAACCGTGATGTCTTTGTGGAGTTAATTGCTTTCTCTATTTTTAACTCTCAGGATATGGGGAAGGATGGATAGTTTCTATTCCATTTTATTTCCTTGGAGATTTTATTCCCTGGAAATGGAACAGTTGTCTGCTTGTTTATTGTACATTAATTGCTAACACATTGTAGCAACGGGAAAGCTGAACTGTGGTGTGTGTGTATGGTTTGAAATGCTCTAGAAAAGACAGCAGCAGCTGAGACTTGACAGCAACAAACGGTCTTCCCAGGAAGCTTGTTTGTGTTATGGATGTGATTCATCAGAATGGGCTAGATATTCCAAGTAATAATGTATTTTCCCTTTTTGTTCCTGGAAACCTGCATCTGGGAAGAGCAAATCACTTTAAATATACACAAAATAAAACCAACAGTAGGATCCATTCACAAAGACATCTTTGTTATCAAGATTCACTGATGAAACTGATGGATGTTGGGGTAAGGATGCAGGTTCAGGGCTGGGGGTTGTGAACTGAGTGAGTAATGCACAGCATAGCAGAGTCCCAGTGCAAGCAGGAGCTTCTAATCTGCTGCAAAAAAAAAAAAACAAAAAACCAAAAAACTCTCTGATGGCACAGAACATAGAACTTTGAGTAAAATAGCAAGAAAGACGACTTCTGAAAAATACCTCCATTCCATTTATTCCCCAAAAACTCAACTAAGGAAGTACTGCACAAGGCCTGCTCAGGACACTCATGTTCAGCAGTCTTTATAAACTGTTTTGGCTGGGTAGCAAAGGGATGCTGAAACTGTGTACCTGTGACAATGAAAACCAGAACCTCCACAACTTCCATTTTTCAAGTGAGTTAAAAGTGTGTAAGTCAGTTCAGTTGCTGACTGAAAAAGATTGAGGTTACTTCTGGACAGGACCTCTGTGCCAAGTTTAGTCTTGGCATAATATTTTATTGCCATATTTTATAAGTACAAAAAAGTAGAATTTTATGATGGAAATGGTGACAGAACACAGCAAAAATTACGCTGATAGGTATTATTTTAGAAGAGAAGACCATTGTGTGACAGTTCGCAATGATTCATGAGTACCGTGGGAGTATGAGTCCAAATTAGTTGAGCAGAGGGTTGGATTGAGGAACCTGTCTCTAGAACCTTCAAGTAACACTTATTCTCCTAGTGGTGGTTTCAGCAAATGCAGTTTTCTGTCTAGCTGTAGAGCTTTTTACTGAGCCCAGTTTGTACATGGAGCCACAAAAACCTAATGGTGTAGGTAGGAGCCAAATCGTCTGTAAAAAAAGAAAAAAAACCAGTATTGAACTTGAAAGAGGATAATGCCAGAGACCAGTGGAGAAGCAAAGCGAAGCTTTCTAGAGCACTGAACAGATGGGAAATGCTCAATTAACAGTAAATAACCATATGGGAGACAAGATCAGGAATAACTTCTCTTTGCAACAGATGCATTTCCTGAAATTCAGCACAGGATTTCTTGTGCTGTGAGTTGTCTTGTACCTCCATGTCAGCTTTCCAAGTCTGATTTCCACTTGATCTTTCTTGAGAAGGAGATTTATTTCCACGCGCACTGGTAGCCTATGAATGCAAACATGGTTTTGATGCATGGTCAGTATTTTGAACTCTGACTCAAATTAATGAAAATCCAGATGATACAAAGAAGAGTTGGATGAAATCCGTACTTGGCTTTGCATGCAAAATTCTTTCAAGGGATTCAATAACTCACTTGAAGCATGCCCAGAAACTCAGCTCTGGCAAACAGAATGCCATTATGCCTTAAATGTCATTATCAACAGTGACAGTAAAACTCGTGATTAATGAGAAAGTAATGCATTATCAAAACATTTGATGAATGGGATGACTTCTGCCATGTATTAGCAAACCAAAGAGCTTCTCCAAATCAGTTTTTGAAAATTAGGTCAATCCATTTATTTAAAATATATCTGTATCTATTAGAGGTATCAGTGCCTAAAAGTTTATAC